TTTAAAAAAAAAAAACTACCCATGTATGCAACATTTTGAGTCTATTCACCATATCCTACCAAGCTGGCATTCTATCTTTCTCATTTATTATACATAACAAATTACTTTCCAGCCCTGTTAAATATATTTCTGACTCTCTATGTGTGGGTCCTCATTTAGCAACCACTCATTCAGTTTGAATTTGCAACCATGCTGAAAGAGTGGTACTTATGATCAATGCTCAAAATTCTGGCCATGGCAGCACCCTCGCAATCGTGTGATTAGCCCAGATTTCCAGGCGTCACAGTGTCCTGTGGTCATGCGATTGCAATTTGCAACCTTCTCTGCTAGCTTCCCATAAGCAAAGTCAATAGGGAAGTTAGTAGGTAGTTGAAAATTGTAATTACGTGAGGTCCTTGCTTAACAATCCATGGTGATTCACTTAACAACAATAACTGAGGACTACTAGAATTACCATTGTTAAGCAGCATAGCATCTGCTTCACAACTGCATTGCTTAACAATGGAAATTCTGGTCCTAAGTACTTTTTTAAAGCAACCTGAGTGGTGGAATTCAGCCAGTTCACACCAGTTCAGTAGAACTGGTAGCTAATTTTTTGTTGCTTTTTTGGGACTTTCAGAAGTGGCATCCACACACAGAACCGGTTGTTCACATATTTGAATCCCACCATGAGCAATCTGTATATAAAATCATGTGTAAACATTCAAAGACATAATCCAAGATATTCTGATTTTCTGAGTATAGAGGACAGAATGAGAATGCTGTATTCCATATAACAAATAATTATGGGAATATGAGACCTAATTTGATAACATACACCAGAAAGTTTAGTGTGTTTGATTAAAAAAAACCCAGATAGAACATTTCTAATACAGAAGGGAGCAACATTTCAACTATGAAAAAAGTATATCTGTTTCAAAGAGTTACACCTCTTTTTGCTTCTGTAATAAAATAATTATGAAGGGATCATATTTATTCTCTGTGCTGTCATATTTTTATGATTATTACAATGAAGTCCAATTGAAATCAAAATAAACCTTATAGCACTTCATTCACAGTGGAAGCATATTATATTGAAAACTTGGTTCTAATGTTTCAAGAATACATTTTGTGAAATGATTGCAACGTTTTTATGTTTTGAACAATATGTCTTTCTGTACTGAAGGAATGTATACAATAAAACATTCTGAAATGTTCATAAATCTTTCAGAAAGATTACATTACGTGGCTTTTGAAATATTGTCAACATGTATGGATAAAACCACAAAACAACCCTAACACATTAATATAATGTAATTCTGACTTCAGAGAGGAAAAAATTCCTCCTTTTTTTTTTTAAAAAAAATCAGTTTTGGCAATCATTAGCCTTCCTTTTTTTTAAAATCCAAAATGAATTAATTCTCAGTATGGGTTCATGTGTGAGACTTTGAGCTAGGCACAGAAATGAGGTATGGTTTCATGCAGTCCTAATTTCATATGGAAATTTGAGATATGAGGAGGTACAACATCCAATCCATACAATCTGTCCCTCCACCCACTTTAGGTGGAATATATTTTACTATATTCACATAGGCATGTGTTTGTCTGTGTATGTGAAAATAAATCCCAACAATTGTAGATGAAAGTAAATTCAGAATTATACAACTTGGAGTGATAAACTTTACAGCAAAACTACTAAAGTATTTAATCCAGAATTATTCCATTGATCGCAAAGTCCCCCAAAATCTTCCCATTCCTCCTTTCCACTCATCTACATGTTTCTGGCTTTTAATATCTGAAGAGCTTTTCAGTCATTGGAAGCCATAGATTGTATCAGTAGCTCCTGTTCTTCTGGACTTCATCTCAAATGTGTAAGACATCACCATTTTTGTTGTGCTAATTCTTTGTAATGGAGAATTCCAATCAACTGAGGAATACATTTAAAAGGGTAGACTAATAATTCACAGTAAGGTGTGTATTGACTGGATTATGCAAAGTGAGATTGGAATCCCTACATTAGCTATGCCCAAGGACTTGCTCTTGGTCAGAAGGAGATTGAACTTTCTGAATAATGGGTTCCTAATCACAAATGCTTCTGAAAGAAACCTTGGGCTCAAGGATATTTGCTATGCAAGAGTCTATCCTTTGAAACAAAAGAAGGGATGTCCCTTGGGCACATGGTACTAGTTGCCCAGCTCTTTGGAAACGGCTCTTAATCTATAAATAAAGGCTTCTATTATGAAATTTGAGATCTTTGAAATAACTTTGGATTAAATTGGATTAGTTTTGCTATAAGCTTTGATTCTAAATTGTGTGATTCTGAATGTACTCTCATCCATAGTAGAGGTGGGCCCTTTTATGACCTGCGGACTTCAACTCCAGAATTCCTGAGTCAAGTATGCTCAGTTGAAGTCCACAGGCCGTAAAGGGGCCATAGTTGTCCCCCTTATCTATAATTATACTCTGATTTCTCATTAGATTGCACAAATCTTTCACCTTCAGATCGTATCGATAGTTGTCAGGATTTTCCCCCACATTCATAGAAATGCACATTCAAAATTAAAATAAAAGCCTTGGATATAATTGTAAAGTGAGGAATTAAAAAAAATATATCTCTGCCTACCTTGGCTTTTCAAAAGACAAGTAAACACAAGATAGAGAGCCATATAAATTGCTTTATGTTGAGTGGCTCTTTAAGAGTATCTCTACATATCTCAAGGATTTATGTAAACTATTACTTGTAGTATCTTTGTTGTTATCCTATTGCTAACCCAGTATTATTTTAAAGGGAGTTTACATTACATTAAAGGCTTTTTATTCCTCATTTTTGCTTATCGCACAATATATACTTCAATAAATTTAGAGTACTTAAAATTTCTCATGTATTTACTCTATTTTCTAAGAACTCTTCCAGGAAGATGTTGATTTTTTTATAGCAGTGTTAGGCAACCCCTCATCTGTGGATTCCTAGAACTCAAAATTGTTTTACTAATAAGAACGCCACTGAGTAATCACAGTGTAGTTTTCCACTGGTTTTCTGTATGGAAATGTGTGTTGACCAGTGTACCAATTATGACTTTTTAAAACTGGACCTGCACGAAAAGAAAACAAAAATGGAGGGAAGTAGCCAAAAATGAATGTAATTATTCAGTGTCTAAGCATCCAGCACACAGTTCCACACACCAACCTTTATCTTCCATCTTTTGCAGAATTTCCCTTATTCCCTCAAATTAACAATTGTCTGAATTATGTGCTTAGTTATTCTGCTCCTAATTTTCATTTTAAAAAAATCCTTTTCCAGTTCTCTGTCATTAGATACTGTACATCTTAACCCAATTTAAAGTGCTACATCTGAATAAACACACTGTAAAAGTGTTTATATACTGAAGTGGGTCAATTCAAGGTATGGTATTTGGCTGAGACTTCTAATCTCTCTCTGTCTCCCTGCAAAAAGACTGCCAGGAAAGAACTGAATTAATGCATTTGTTACAGTGGAAGTAGAATGGAAACTGTTTTAACTGCAAATCAAACTGCCTCTTTCATTGATGCCCATGATAAACGTTTCTCTCAAACATACAAGCCCTGGCAAAGAGCCACCATAAGTCTGCCTTTAAAAAGGGAAGCATAGGGCTAAGTTGAATAAGGCTTGCTCCTAAGATGATTAGTTCTTTCTGTAGCAAGAACAAAATAACAGAACAACAGAACAGAATAGAAGAATAATGGAGTTGGAAGGGACCTTGGAGAACATCTAGTCCAACCTCCTGCTCGAGCAGGAAACTCTATACCATTTCAGACAAATGGTTGTCTGATCTTTTCTTAAAAACCTCCAGTATTGGAGCACCCACAATTTGTGGAGGCACGTTCTTCCGCTGATTAATTGTTCTCACTGTCAGGAAATTTCTCCTTAGTTTTAGGCTGGTTCTTTCCTTGATTAAGTTCTGTCCATTGCTTCTTATCCTGCCTTCAGGTGCTTTGGAGAGTAAGTTAAACCCCTCTTCTTTGTAGCAGCCTCTGAGATATTGGAACACTGCTATCATGTCACCCTTCATCCTTTTCTTCATTAAACTAGACATACCCAATTAAGAAGAAGTTTGAGAGCATGACATAGTTGAAAAGGCATAGGCTTTTTCATCCATAGTTGTCCTTTCTTCAATCCAATAATAGTTCAGAAGAATTCTACTATGAATTGCTGCTCCTAGAAGAACTCAGTTCAGCATTTCTTTACTAACACACCACTACTTAAAGTCTGGCCCATGATAATTCTTCTCCCTGTACAGCTGCATAGCTTCATATGGCACTGTCTCACTTTCTGAAGGTTATGCATAATTTGGAAAGACACACAACTCTTCAAGATGCCAGAATAAATTTTGTTAAGAGCCTGGGGGTTGTTTGTTCAACATTCAGATGGATGCAACTTCAACATCTAATTCGGACTTTCCCTTTTCAACTTTTTCTTCTGATACTCCACACTTCCACCCCTCCCCCTCTGCCCTCCCCACATGCAAAGAAGGGGAGTCTCTAATCCAACAAAGTGACTATTCAGTCTCAACTAAACAAATATAATAAAGAAATATGCACATCCCTTGGGATTAAAATCAGAGTCAATCATGTCATATTTCACCCTCTGTTATATATTATTCCTTGAAAGACTGAGGCCTCAGCTGTACCTGAACTTCAGAGTCCTGACAAAAATGAGTAATGCCTGGGAGTTATTTATGTCTTGAAATGTAAATATATATACTACCTCCATTTCTCATTTCTCTTGGGGGCGTTTTGAGCATACAGGATTCTCAAAGTATTTCCCCCAGGTTCTAAAAACAGGATGATCTGAGCTTTTTGCTTGGCTAGTGTCTTTGTCCCCATAATAATGTGGAACTATAGCAGAGACATTATATACTTCTGGTACTGTAATATCAACAAAATATGCTATTCTATAGACCCACACCTTATCTAGAATATTATCCATCAGCTAAGTGGATTTTGTTTAATGGTAGCTAATTTTATATCTCTTTATTTTGTAGGTCGCAGTATCAGTGTGAAAGCAGCTGGTCTTATAGGCAGGCATGGTCCTCAGTCAAAGCAACCATTCATGGTTGCCTTCTTTAAAGCAAGCGAAGTCCTTTTTCGATCTGTCCGAGCTGCTAACCATAAGAAAAAAAAACAGAATCGCAGCAAGTCCAGCAGCTCACAAAATACTTCAAGAATGTCAAGTGTTGCAGGTAAGAGTGATGAGGTACCCTATTTTATGGAACACTGTCCTATTTCAGAGGCAATCAGAGTAATTTTCATCAGAGAAGTTCTATTTTTAGATCAGGGGTAGGCAACCTTGGCTCTTTTATGACTCGTGGACTTCAACTCCCAGAATTCCTGAGCCAGCCATGCTGAGGGGAAAGGGAGAGTTTCCAAGCTGAGCCATGCTGGCTCAGGAATTCTGGGAGTTGAAGTCCATGAGTCATAAAAGAGCCAAGGTTGCCTACCCCTGATCTATATGATTAGCTTAGAACTAGTTTAATTAATAGTTCAGATGCCTAGAATCAACTGAACCTCTCTTTGGAGACCAAGTTACGTTTCCATCTTTGTTATTCCAATTCATCTGGTAGAATTGAACATATGATTAAAAAATTAAGTATCGCATTATGTAACAAAAGTTGCCCACATCCTTTTTGATTTCTGTATATATTGTTTGTATGTGTTGGATCTTTAAAAGACTGGATGGCTGGCATGCCTTTCCCTTGCAGCAGAAAAAAATTTCATAAGAAATTTAATTTAATTTCTGCCATCTGACATGATTAAATACTCCTCCATAAAAACAAGTCATTTTTCCAAAAAGAAAGCTAGAATGTCAGGTGTATTATGCCCTAGCTTTCTCTATGATGTTTTTATTACTGGGAAACAGGACTTCATTTATCTGCAGCAGGGCATGTTAACATACATGTTACCATTAACTGCAACCTGAAATATATAATACAGCTCCATCCTAACTCACCTTTCTGGTGAGGCTTTCATTGCAGAAGTTATTTTGAAAGACTGTACCTAGGTTGCATCTTCATGCAACGCCTTAAGGCACATGATTTAAGTAAAATGCATAGGCATGTTGTAGCAGCATATCTTACATTTATTTCTCCAATGGCTTGAATTACTTTAGGGTCTTCTGATTGTTTCTGGAAAAATTCTAGGCACAAGCCAGTAAAAGTTGGATATTTAAATCCCACTGATTTATGTTGAAGAGATGGCAAAATGAATTATTTTATACAGTAGGTAACAATGTTTCACGGTCATGTGATCCTATTCCTCATTCTTTGTATTTATATTCTACCTTTCCTCAAGTGGCAAACATAGAAGATTGTCCTAATTTTATATTTGCAATAAACAACAACAATTGTGGGGTGCTTTAGGATGAAACAGAGTGCCTGGTTCAAGGTCACTCAGTAAGCTGCATTTTGAGCATGGATATCTCCAGTCCAATGAATACTATATTACATTAGGTCTATGCAGAGAAGCTCTGTGTCTGGTGTTTATTTTCAAAGAAGAGAACTTACACAAGAATTCAAATATCCTGTTTAGTTAATGATACTGGCATATATAAGAAGTTTATATGAGAGTCATTCTTCTGTTAACATATTTGTAAATAAAGTTAAAAAAAATATTAGTTCACAAAAAAATAAGAAAGGGCAAGCTGCTTGTTTACAAACACTACCAACAGTGATGGCACCACCTAATTGGTGGCTCCATGCCAGTAGGATCAATGTGAACATATTGTCCGGCCCTCTCACATTTAAAAAAAAACATACTCATTTCTATTATATATATATGGAGACACAAACATCCTTACCACAGCTTGCATACCAACAATGTTACTAGTGCTATAATAGAATATACACTACAATAAGTCTATTAGGAAAATCTGACAAATACATTCCAATCACATATTCCATCATGCAGTACACAATCTTCAGCTGCCGTTGTCATAAAAACATCTTCCAGGTGAATTCTGAATCTTGTGCAAATCATAGCCATGCCTTCAGACAGAGGAGGGGACATATTTCTCACAAGCAAACTGTACTGCTTAAATAAATAAATAAATAAAATAAAATCAGATTTAAACAAATCAGTAGAATTTCATTATATTAGATATTCTCTGATGGCTACTGGCCTATTTCTCTTCTCTTGTAATATCCTACAAAGGACCACAGGTGACAATGCCATGCTTCTTTCCAAGTTGCATTGCTACCAGAATTGCAGTCATTTTCATTAAATAACCACACCCAACCCTACATTTCTTCATTAACAAATGGAGCAAAAATCACATCTGTGTGGAAATGGTAAAATTTAATGTGATTTCCTCCCAGTGTGTGTTTATGATGGGAGCCCAGCAGTATAATCATTATTAAATCTCTATATATTCTGTGATATTATATTTACACTCAAGTCTTTTTTATTAACTCTCTTTTCTGCTGACCGATCTCAAACATGCTTTGCTTGCCTATGGGTATTTTGACAAGTTTCAACTTTGATTTCTTTCTTTCCCCTCAAAGAGACTTTTCCCCTCTTTCTGCTCCATAAAGATTTATGTAAAGGGCTGAAGGGCAGTTGCCAATTCCTGTTCCTAAATTATTTGGGGACAAACTTTATTCATCCATAATATCCCATGGTTTTGATTCCTAGCAGAATAAGCAAATGGAGCAATGAAGGCAAAATTAGTGAAATTGGAACTTTCACACCAGATTCTATAGAGTAAATGTCACCCTAGCCATTTACATGAAATGTAATATAATGTCCCACACTTTCCTCATCTGAAAAGCAGAAAGGCAAGAAGGAGTATGGATTTCAGTTTAGTAATTTTACATTCAGAATAACCCTGCAGTCTAAATGCATTTCATTTTTCTTGAGATGGGATGCTAGCTCTATATTATATATGCTGGAATCTTTGCATTTTTTTTCTCACAGCTAGACAACAGCCATCTCTTTTCAAATTGTATTTAGTCTTTTTAAAGACTGTGGAAAAATACTTTGGGCCATTTCTGGATACTTTTATTTGGGGGGGATGCCCAAAGGACTCGTGGGGAGATGGGTTTTTGAAGAGCTTCTGGGTGAGCAGTGTGTATAGAACGATATTATTCCACTGCTATGAATATTATTCAGTTTTTCCAAAAAGCAACTGGTAGCCGCAGAGCTGCATGTTTTCTCTGAATCTATCTTCTATACAGGGGAGGCAGGAATAATCTGAACATTTGAGAAGACAAAAAAGGAACAGAAAGCCACAAAAAGTGGCACTCAATGGATACAATAGACAATGTGTAGAAAGCAATTTTATGTTTAATGTATATCACATCTCTGAACACCCATCTTCCTTGGGAATAATGCAGAAACAGAAGAAGAATTCCATTCTGTCTTCTTTGTCTAAATTCATCTGATTTAAAAGTAAGGTGGAAATCAAGCCAGGCCATGAAATTATTGAAAAACGGTCATCCATTAAATGAGGAAAATGTGCACCATTTTCCATTCTATAGAATGTGTTTCTCAATCTTGGCCACTTTAAGATGTGCAGACTTCAATTCCCAGAATTCTCAGCCAGCAAGTTAAATCCACATCTTGTGGAAAACGAAAGGACTCTTACGAATTCCAGAGGGTTTTAGCAGAGAGATTTATTGTGCAGGTTCAGAAGCAATAGCAACCAGCAATTCTGAACTCCCGAGGGCAGGTTCAGACTTCAGTTTTATACTTTCTTTTTCTCAGGAACAAAGGAATACACATTGTAATACACTTTGTAATACATTAGATTCGTTTCTCATGGGTAGACAATGGAGAGAGTTTGCTACATACATTGTATCCAAGTGCAATGCGCATTAGGTTAGTCACATACTACTAACACAGCATTATTCCAGTACTTATGCAGACACATCATTATTCTAGTGATTGTTCATTATACCACATTACACACATCGCAAAGAAGCCGAAATTGAGAATCATTGCTAGAATGTTTATATCATGTGCCCCAGCTATAATTCCTGTGAAAGGGCCAGGAAAGGAATGTGTGGGATTGGTGTGACATAGATCATAGATCCAATCCATCAGTTATTCAAAAGAAACAAGACAGGACAAAACTCTTACGAATCAATTCCAGCATTGAGCAGAATGGCACAACACATGTTTTATATAAGACAGTAATATCTCCTGAAAGAAAGAGAGAATGATTAAAACCTGAAAAAATAACATATGCTTAATGAATGCTTACAATAAGCAATTGTGCAATGTGCTTTCCCCCCCTTGCAGATTATAACACAAGTGAACAGAAGCAAGCCTGCAGAAAACACGAACTCTACGTGAGCTTTCGAGACCTTGGGTGGCAGGTAGAGATGATATTCCATTTTCCGTTTTCCTCCTTTCCCTTCTCCTCATCTACAAATCTACCCTTTAGGTTAGGCAAAGTTATGCAAAGAGCAGGAAAAGTTAAGAAAAGGAGGAAGAAAAGGAAAAGAAAACCTAATTACATCTAGTTCGTACTTCCTTCCCGTCTTTTTACCTCCCATACTTACACACGCAATTCTCACTACATGTTATGGTTCTCCTGACAAATCCAGCTCTCACTTCGAAAGGGTAAAGTCTGGGGATTGTCCTACAGTTTAGACATCATCATGTTAAAAGAGGACAGGAGACTCTGCTCTTTGGGTACTGAGTCTGCAGAGGAAAAGCAGCAAACAAAGAAAGGAAAACTGAAACTATCCTCCTCAGCCACTTCTTTTATCTTAAACATTGTACCTTACTCTGTGCTTCACAGCAGTTCAGCAGTACCCGGCTTTCATAGGCTAATGATTTTCATCACATTTATTTACTTACATTTCATATTTTTTAAACCCCCTGCCCCATCTCCCTCAAAGATGAGCTCTGGGCAGTGTTGTTGTTGTTCAGTCACTAAGTCGTTTCTGACTCTTCTTGAACCCATGGATCACAGCACACCAGGCCTCCCTGGTCCACTGTCTCCTGGAGTTTTCCCAAATTCATGTTCATTATCTAACCATTTCATCCTCTGCCTTCTTCTTCTCCTTTTGCCTTCAATTTACAATGCAATATAATTCATAAATAAAACAACATGTAAACATTAACATTAAAATTACATTAGGATTAAAAAAAATAAATGATAAATTAATGACAATTAAACCTCGAAAGGATAAAAATCCTAAAAGGGCCATTTAACATTGGTTATTACAAAGTGGGAGGGCTGTCACGGGACTAGCCAGCCTCACAGTTGTATGGTCCTCTGTGCCCCCCATGGAAGGCTGCAAAACTAAGATTTATTATCTTAGCGATGGGTGAGTCCAGCCTGGTTTACATACTCAGGTTTAAGGTTTGAATTATCTTTAAGCCAAACAATTGAAGTTTAGAAACAAACTCCAGCAAAAACATATCCTAACATAGGGAAATTTAACATATGAGGTCAGCTACTGTTGCTGAATGTGTATGTTAATACTGAAACAGGTGGAAGTGCTAACTGGCCTAGGCTGATCTTGAAAAAGCAAAATGGGTTCAGATCTGGTTAGTTCTTGGATGGAAAGCCATCTGAAATTATGAAGGCTTTAAGCTAGGCTGGGGTGTTGACTAAATACTTCAGATGAAGGCCATGAAAAGTCACTTTCTACTTATTGCTAAGAAAACCACATGGGCAGCCTGAGAGAGTTTACATATTTACATATGACATATTTATGTAAACATATGACATTTACATATGTCAGGTCTTGCAGAGTAGCGCATCTTGAGGAGACAATGCTGAAAATTATAGCCCATGTCTGAAAGTATGTGGAATGTCAACTTTCAGGCATTTTTCAGGTGTATGTGTGTTTGTTTGTTTGTTTGTTTTTTTACCAAAACTGAGGGATGACTGAGAGGGAAAATTTGCATTTAAACATTTTATTTTTATTTTTTAGGATTGGATTATAGCTCCAGAGGGTTATGCTGCATTTTATTGTGACGGAGAATGTTCATTTCCTCTCAATGCTCACATGAACGCCACAAATCATGCCATAGTACAGACGCTGGTATGTTTCCATCTGTTTTTATAAATAATAAATGAATGTATAATTTTTAGAAATATTTTATAAATAATAAATACAAATATTTACTTATCAATCAGTCAGTCAAAGAGATTCAGTGAAACTTCATTTTCAAGAAATACAGCATCCTATACATACAGAGAAGAACATTTTAAATATCTATTTGGCCCTATTTTTAAAATGTCTTTTCCTTCCTCAGGGGCTTTAAAGAAAAAGAAGTAATATTTTTATTACTATATTTCTGAAAGGCCAGCTGTCAGCAATGATGCTTTGGGAAACTTCTATGAATTTTACAATTGTATTTTTATACTTTCCACTTGTTTGGAGGGCCAAGCTACCCCTGACTCCATTTTCTTCATCCTGCACAGCCTTTGGATGGATTTTCTGTTTAAATATGAAAAATGCATTATTTTTCTGAGGGAAATGGGTAGTTTAGAAATATGAAATATAAATAAATAAAATAAGTAAATTATTTCTCCTCCTCCTTTAAATCAATCCATTACATGATAAAACACCATTCATGAAACGTGATGGACTGGTCCAGTGAGGTTGGTAGATTTTTTTTTTTCACTTTCCAGTCTAGAACTATGAAAGAGAGATTTGTTCAAAGCCATCTTCCATGCCTAAGGGAAGTCCACAACCTGGTCTTCCCACTACTCATCCAGTTCCTTAACTATTACAGCATACAGTCTTTCTCTCTTTCATACAACATACTGACATATACACTATACACCCAAGCCTCTATCTCTGTATTATGTTTAACACTCTCTCTCTCTCTCTCTCTCTCTGTGTGTGTATGTGAGTAAATGGCTGGCAGGGGAATTCTGGGAGTTGATATCCACAAGTCTTAAAGTTGCCACGATTGGATACCCCTACTCTAAACCTTTAAGTAGCCACAGGACAAACTGGTGTTTGTTGATATTCTTATTAGAAGCATGATATATTTTTCATTGCAAAGTATTAAAATCAGAAGCATTTTAGCAATATGACTATGACTCTCCTAGTCAAAAAAATAGAAAATAAAAAATACTGTGTGTTATTGCTGATTATAGGATTCATTACAACAGATTATTGAATGAGTAAAATCACATTGTATCTTCTTGTCTTTGACTTTCAGGTCCACTTGATGTTTCCTGATCATGTCCCAAAGCCTTGTTGTGCTCCCACCAAACTGAATGCCATCTCTGTCCTCTATTTTGATGACAGTTCCAATGTTATTTTGAAAAAGTATAGGAACATGGTGGTACGATCATGTGGTTGCCACTAGGATTCAATTGCAAAAAACAGAGCCCCACAAAGAGGAAGTTATTTTTTTATGTTTCTTATTTTGGGTAGAGGAATTGGAGTGACCCTTTCACAATATTTCTCCAAGAAGAGGATCATTCTTCATTCCAACAGAGTCCTGGAGCTAAAGTTCTTCCTATATGGTGGCCATCACACCACAACTGGGCTGCAACCAAGTGGTTGCCACTCCCCCCCCCATCCTCTAGGTACAGCTTCGTTCGCAAGCATTTGGGGAAGGAAATGTGGCTATCACAAATATCAAGAAAACCATACAAAAAATTAAGAGAAACCTCTGCAAAGGGATTTTTTTTTTTTTTTAGGGACAAAAGAAAATTAAAAGAAAAAAAAAGATACAAGAAATTTAGATTTTAGATCTAGAATGTAGAATAGGGCCAAGAGTTTTCTTTTTGTTTTTTTAATGGAAAAAATAAAGATATTAGGTAACTTAATCCCACTGATGTCACCTCTCTTCTCATGTACAGTACAATGTACATAGTAGTTTTTATTTATTTAAAGGTATATCCTTTCTTTTATATGAATGTCATTTCAAATACTTTATTATATAGGTTTATCTTAGTAAGTAGTAGAACATTGAAGACAAATGTTTGGTACCCGTACTGAGATTTATTTCATTTTATAAAATAAAGCTTTTGTATACTCTCTCTCTCCATTCTCCCTCCCTCCTCTCCTTCCTCTCAAGGTAAAAAAATCCAGAACGCCTGTGACTATTTTATATTGTTAAAGGAAATTGAATACATTTGGCTACATTGTGCCAATGAAAACTTTGGCGGGCTATTTATTTAGACAAAGCACTGAGAACATTTTTTTTTAAATGCTTAGCTAAACACAATTTTCCTTTTAGAAGTTCTGCCCCATTAGGTAAAGTAAGTTGAACTGTGTTTAAATAAACAAATGGTAGCTAAATGCAGAGGGCTGAAAGATTGTGCACAATTGTTGGGGCTATTTTCTCTAGAATAATAGTGTAACCCTAGGAACCATAATCTCCTTCCCTTTGCTTGTGGGTTTCAGCTCTTCCTGGAGGCATGAAACTTTGGGCATTCTGCCAGTTGCCCATGCCCAAAATGTAGTTCTGACTTTGGGCAATGGAAGCGGGGGGGGAATAGAGTACAACCTTCTTACCTCAGATAGGTGTGATTGGTCCATCATCTCTAACACTGCTTCAAAACGTGTTAACCTTCCTAGACTGAAACTGGCATATGAACCAGCCTCCTCTCTAAGCAAGAGATCATGAAATGGGAATTTCCACTGGGCATTATGGAATTTAAGCAAAAGTTCCATTAACCTATTCCATGAACATTACTACTCTATCCATAACTTCTCAGAAGTAAGTTCCATAGAGTTCCATGGGATCTGCTGCTGGATAGAGCTGAGCTTGGTTGAAAACAGAGGACATAGTTGCTTGGACATGCACTGTATTTCTCTCCTTTAAGCAATATTTAATAAGACTCTCATGGTATGATATAAGGAAAGCATAGAATAATGTGCTCTGCTGTTATCACATTTAATAAGATTCTAATGGAATGGAATAGGGGAAATACAGAATAATGTGCTCAGGTGTTATGACATTTTGGAGAAATGAATTTATCTCTTTTTTTAACAACTTCTGAAACAATGATATATATTTTTAATTTTGTTACATTAAATCTGTTGAAATACTATACTTTGTGCTTTAGAGAGATATAAGGCATTCACTGCCTTTGATTTTAATTTGTCCATGAAGTTGCCAAGAACGCAACTTTATGTGTGGACATCTTTATCCTAATTTATCACAGCTTTAAACTGTAGTACTTATATTTTTGTAGTACATATAGCCGCTTAACGTCTTCTCAAACCCCAAGATGAGTGGCTTATACAGTTGATAAATAAATAAATTCCTACAGGTATCTCTTCTAAGTTGCTGTTTTGTCAGCTCTCCCAAGTAAATTATACAAGAAACAGGATTAGATCCTACTCTAATTAATCAATCCTATCTATTGTAAAACTACATTAACAAAATCTTGCAAGTCTGAAGGTATAAACTTCCCACTGCCCCCTTTTTTTTTTTTTTTATTGAAAATTTTTACATTTTACAAAAACAAATCCCCTTCCCATACCCCCCCCTACCTCACCCCCCCCCCTTCCCAACCTCCCAACCCCTCCCCTGGACTTCCCAGAGCTGAGTACAGGCTTAATTAAAAAAAAAAAAAACTTAAAACACTTTTAAAACCTAAACAAATTTAAATACAATCATCATTCTATATAAGCTCCCTCCAAAAACACAAATTTAAACATTACTTTCTTTGAATATCTATATCTATAATATAAAATCTAATTTCTCCCTCTTTCTTTATCCTAAAACGAACAAATAAACATACAAATCTTTGTTATACCATTAAAGCTAAATACTCTTAAAGAACTTAAAGTAAGTACATATTTCCTTCAATCTTCATAATCTTCTCTCCTATCCAAAAAGAAGAAAAAAAAACAAAAAAAAAAAAACAAAAACTTAAAAAACCTATAAGTCCTAAACAAATCTAAGCACATTTAATTAAACAAATTATTTTGTCTTAAAAATATTAATAATAATATTTAAAAACTAAAAACACTTTTAAATCCTAAACAAATCTAAATACAATCAGCACTCTATATAAACTCCCTCCAAAACCACAAATTTTTAAAATTTAAAACATTAGAATCCACTCACTAAAATAAGCAAATTATAATCCCTTCAAAACACAAATTTAAACAATATTATCATTAAAGGTTCAAAACTTAAAACAACAAAGTTAATAAACACATTAAACATTTCAATCTTCACCAATAACTAATTCCATCCATAAAAAAACTACATCCTTATCAATCTCAATTATATTAGTATTATTAATTATTCACATTCCAGTTTTTTCCATTCTCCATTCTTCCATTCTTCCATTTCCCTTCTCCATTCTTGTATCAAACTCGTAAGAAATGCTGCAAGTTCTGCCTTAGGAGACTGCTCCAAAATTCCTGAATCTCCCCTCGACTCCGAAGCCAATAAGGATTCCTTAAATTCCTCCTTGTATTGATCTTTACAATTGTAAGTTGTACAAGTTATCCTCTGCCCGTTCCTCTCTTGTTGATGCCCCTCAGACTGAGATTTACCAGTTTCCATTTCAGGCAACAATTCCACCCTTAAAGATTGCTCCAAAGACTTTGTAGGTCTAACATCTCCCAGAGATTCAGAAACCACTAAATATGAAACTTCCTTAACCTTCTTCTGTTGCTGCTTTTCTTTGGGATTATATACTGCACAAGTTGTCTTCTGCTCCTCAACCTGGACTTGTTGAGGCCTCTCACACACAGATTCTCCAGTTTTCATAAATATAGGCTCTTCAAACTGTGATTCTACATTCTTTTCTTCCAAAGCTTTAAACTTAATTGATGGCGATGCACATACCCCCAGGACCGAAGTATAAAAATCTTTTGATTGAAAAACAGTATTAAGTCTATAACATGTCCCCAGGTAATTCACCACCATTCCAATCGGAACATCCCATCTGAATGAAATTTTTCTCTTTTTAAGTTCATTTGCTAAAAAAGCAAACTCCTTTCTTCTTCTTAAAATTTTAGATGGGATATCTTTAAAAATTATAACATCTTGTGAAGCAATTTGAAATCTCTTCTTATAATAGGCTTGCACAATTTCATTGCGTAAAGATCTTTTACCAAAGTAAATTACCACATCTCTTGGCAGATTCTTCTGTGCTGCCACCACAGAGTTAACCCTAAATAATTTTTCAATTTCACTAAGTATTCCCTCTTTTTCTTTATTCAGAATCAATGCAAAGTCCTTTGCAACCATCTCCTTCAGATCTCCTTGCAAAGACTCTCCCAGGCCTCTAATTCTTAAGGCATATTCCATTTGTCCATATTGAAGCATAAGAATCTCATTTTCCATTTCTTTTTCCATACTTTCAATTTTCCCCTCCATTATGTACACTTTTTCAGCTACCTCTTCCACATGGGAGTTCACCTTTTCAAGAACAGAAGCAACACCTTCTAAAGCCAAAACAAAATCTTGTCTCAAGATCTTATTGTTTTCCTCTAAAATCTTTTTCATTTCTGCCCTAATTTGACTTATAACATCTCCCATCATGTCTTGCAAGTCCTTCATAGTTATTAGCTGACCCCCAGAAGAGGGTGAAACTGTTGATTTAGAAGCTGTAGAAATCCCTGGACGCTTTGGAGACATCTTAAAGAAAAACCTTTAGCCCTTCTTAAAAAATTATAAAAATTCCTTCAAAAATCATAACTCCCTCCAAAGAAGGTCATTATAATAAAAAGAAAAAAGGGAAAAAAAGGAAGAGAAAAAGAATTAAAAAAAAGTTTTACTCCTTCTTAAAAATTACAAAAAATTAAACAGAAAAAAAGTCCTTCAAAAAAGGGTCATTAAAATAAAAAAAAAAAGGGGAGTTCAAAGGAAAAAAAAGGGAGAAGGGGAAAAAAAAAATAATTAAATAAAAAAAGTCCGTTCCAAAAAAAATACTTAGAGATACCAAAAACAACCATTCCAATCATAAGGAAATAAAAAGAGAAAGGGAAAGGAAAGAAAGAAAAACACCAAAAAGCCTGCCGGTCAGCATTCTAACTTCCAGAAAAAAAAAACACCGAGGAGTTTGCCGATCGCCATTTTACTTTCCCTTTCAACAAAGAAAAAAAATAAAAAGAGAGAATAAAAATAGAAACAAATCTTAAAACTTAAAATCCAAATAAGTCAAAGAAAGCAAAAACTAAATCCTCTACTCAGCTCTGTCCATTTAAAAAAAAAAAAACTAACCAGTTCTCTTTAAGCACGGAGGTGTTTGCGGCGGCTCGTTTTGTCCCTGAGGACAAAAACAGCTGGGAAGCGGAGACAAGTCTGAACTCCGTGGGAGCACTCCTTTCACCCCCCCCAAAAAAAAAACTTGGGGGGTGCGAAAGAGGCTCTACCACTATTCAGACACTCTCTACCCCCCCCCCCTTTGCCCGGGAGGGGGATTTTGAACCGCTGAACAGCTGGTGTCTGCTGTTCATAGCGGTTCTTACACTTACCCAGGAGGACGGCTACAAAGTAGCCGCCATCACGCACGCAAAATCCACCGGAAGTTCCCCCACTGCCCCTTTTAACTGCTTGATCCATTAGGCCGATCCTTACTAAGTTTCTTTCTTTGACCATTAAGCCACTGGAGACTCCTGCCTCTCTTATCTCATTCCTAGGCAGCGTCTCTTCCCCCTTTTCCAGTGTCATTCACACATTCTATTACATGCTTTAGGAAATATTTAAAATTAATTTTGGGAAATGTTTAGAAAGAAAATGAATTTGTTTAGGACTTAAATAGGAGATAATGGTATTTGGAGCTGAATTTATGTTAAATAAAGGTTGAAGTGTATTTTGGGTACATTAAATAATATATTTTGGAATAAAGGTGTACCATTTTAAGTACATGAAATGAAAGATTATATTATGTTCTGTTGAAATATAAGTCTATATTTTATAACCTAATAAACCTGAAATACTAGCTGGTTTGTTATGCCTTTTCTCAAGGATTACATTATCTTGATTAGAAATATTGTGTTCACTTGAAACAACCCTTTATTAAAAATATGGAGTTGTAGCCTAAGATTTGCTTCCTGTCATAAAAGG